ATGAATATTGGCCTTCGACCGTGTCCTTGGCCCCGTATCGGTTCGCGAGGGATATCGCGCGCGTATCGTGGCCGCTCGCTCGCTCGCTCGTTCATCCGTTCCGTTCGTTCACGCCCGCCTCGGTCGCCCGCTCGCTCGCTCGCGCGTTTGCGAAATCGCCGCGGAGTAACGGCCGGCTCCGAAATAGAAGCCGTCGTCGCGCGCCGCGCTTTTACGGAGCGCGTCTCTCTTTCTCTCTCTCTCCCTTTCGTTCCTTTCTTGCCGCCGACGTTTCCCGCTCCGACCACCGCGAATTAAGGCTCGCGCACACCGAGCGCACCTGCGCCTCTGTTCCTCTTCCCAATGCTCTGAATTTTCTGTTGTTATGTTATTGTTACGGTATTATTTTTTGTATGTTATTTTTACATTAGTATTCTCGTGTTCTTGACCTAAAAGAGTCGAAAATTCTACTACTCTTTTATCTTGAGGTAGTTTCGTACTTTTCTGGACTCATTGTTGTTTAGTTTAGGAATGTCTATTATTGCTTTGATGCAAGAATCGCCTTATAAATCTCCGGGGATTTTTTTCAGGTATATAGATATGCACACTTTGAATCACCGTAATCATCGGTGATTCAATAACTACCATAACGTAGCGTAAAGTAGTAAAAGAACCGCTGCAGGAAGAGCGACAAGAAACTCCTCTTAAGATCGATTCCTTCTCCAATGTCGGCCGTCGATTTTAATTACATTGTCACTCTTAATTTCAGCCGCTGGTGTACGTAACCGTAATATCGGGATTCGCGATTGAAAAGAAATTCTTAATCAACTTACGCTTTATCACGTAATATTCTAAGTTTAATACTATCGAAGCAGTCCGAATGATCGATTTGTAATTCACTTTTTAAATTACTCAGATTTACAATGGTATATATTTAAAGTCTTTTCGTGATCTTTGTTGCAAATGATTAAACCGATCAATTTACACTTTCCTCCTTTATCTCTTTCTTCAAAGATATACTTACCGTACATTTAAATAGTAGAAAGTAATCGTCAGTAGTTTTAGCGATAAAGAAAGATAAAATCCAAACTAATCTTAAAAAGCCAGCTATAGATCGTTGGACTTCAAACGGGTATAGATAACTGTAGTGTTTCGCAGCGTTTCAACTTTTACTACTTCACGCCAGTTGTACGATTAGTAATGGTTGAAGTATGGTATGGTACACGTATACCTGCGGTTAAAGAATACGCAGCTTGAAAGCGACCCTTACTCGACATTAGGCGCTTTTTAAAACGGTTAAACCTTCCGGAAATCTCGCTGCCTGAGATAGAGTCGCAAAATTTACGATTCCCAACAAGTGCCTGTCGGTTTCCTTTTCAATAACGTCGGCCCATTTCGCCTAGCGTCACTTGAAAGGAAACAGGATTATTTTATTGACTTTAAGAAAAAAGATGAACGGTAAAGATATATCTTTTTTTCTCGATTTTAGGTCCTAACTGACCTAACTCTTTTTTTTAAATAAGCAAGACAAAAAAAAATAAAGAAACGAAAGTACACGTGCTTAAAAATCGCTGCACGATTATGGGTTAAAGATCGTAAATCTTCGTCGTGCTTTTTTTAGGTACTGAAAAAGACTCTTCGAAACCTAGCTGTTTATGAACTATTTAAGCCATTGTTAAGTAAGAGTCGGTTGCCAAATCAGCTACTTAATATCTTCACGCCATATATTGTGAAAACTTGCTACCTAAAAAAAATAGTCTTCCGTAAACTTCGCACAATAGTGCGATACCCTTCAAGGAAGTTACCTCTTACAATTGCGTTTGAAAGAGTATTAATAATCGGACGTTTTCTCCCGAAGCATCGGCTTCATCGCTGTTCCGTCGCAAAAACATAAATCGTGTGCTCGTAGGAGAACAAGAGCATTTGTTATTACATCTTTATTTCGCGAACAGCGACAACATATACGCGCAGCGTCTCCCCGCCTATATTGCAGCTATAAAGGGAAGAGAGCAATGGGTCGCTAACCAGGATTAATCAAGCCGCAGACTGCCGGCGCGCGATTCGCCCTTTAGCCGTCACCTCGTTAATAGGCACGTCGCGGCACACAAAGGCCGCGCGCGAATTCGCGACGGCAATTTTCGAATTTGCCGAACGAAAACGGCGCCGCTCGCCATTGTGATGGTAATGGCCGGCGTGACGAGCGAGACTCGTTCTGATGGTCGTCGGGCGTGCGCATCCTTTAAAATTTAAATCGACCCGTCGAACGACCCGCCGATCGGGGGGGAAAAAAAAAAGATGAGAAGAACCGACAGGCCCGGGCGCGTTCGACCTAATTCGACCGGCCCGCTGATAACGGTGACGTCACGCAGCGTGCTCTACTCGTTACTAGTCACGGACCGTAATACGTGACGAGCGCGGTGACGAGCGTGACGATAATAGTGCGCTACCATCGCGTACTACGTGTGCTACGCGTTAATGTTAAAACCCCGCGCCGCGCTCTCGTGACACGCTTTCGGCCGGCTCGCGCGCCTATTGACATCTCAACGCCACGAAGCCTCGAGCTGTTGATAGCCGCGGGGATCTTATCTCGCGTTCGTAAATTTGTACGGCTGTGATGCGAGGTCACGCCGATTTGTCTTGCCTATCCGCGTGTAACTCGACAATCACTTTGCAATGTCAGAAATAACTTCAACCATATCAGAGTTAGGTACTCTTAATCCGGGAACGGGTGCATGATCTTTTTTTTTGCATAAATAGTCACTTGGGGGTGATTTTTACACCCCAATTAAAAGTCACTATTATTGATTGCGTACTGCATATTTTTTATGATTCTATAATTTATTAGTATTTGAGGATAATGTATATAGATTTATTCAACATTTTCTGAGAGAAAGAGAAAAAAGTAAGAAGCTAAAAAAATATTTAATAAATGAAAGAAGCGAACAAAAATTGTTTCGATACTGGGATGTGAATATCACGTCAGTGCCCGTTCCCGGGTTAATTTTGTTTCAAGTATTTCTCCGCACGCGTTTATTATTTCGTACGTTTCCGCGTGTGAAACGCTAGAGTGAAAAACAGCGGGTTTCCTCTGACGGTTTACGCGAAGAGGAGAGAGAAAGCCAACGTGAAAAGACGTGAAAATTAATGGGCGCGAATTAAATTATCTCGAGAGGAAACTACGGAATATTTCCGTGCAGCCGGCTGCGATATTTTTGTCTCCCGGATTAGACACTGCGTGCGTGCGTGCCGGGGTCGCGTGTTCATTGCGGAGAGTCGCGAAACGTGAGAAAACGAAAGTACGGTGGCCGGGGTCGCTCTCTCGCGGATCGATAGCAGCCGCGAGAGCGGCTCTTTCGTCGTCAACGTCGCCGTCGCCGCCTTCGCCGTCGCCGTTGCCCTTCTTCCGGTGCTGCGCGAGCTTGCGCGGTGATGTCATATATTCGGCCGAGTTTACGCGTGTTTGTAAACAGGCCGAGCGAGAGAGATGCGCGGTGCGGGAAGAGAAGGAGGGGGGAGGGGGACGCGAGAGGGTGAACGACGGGGAGGAACCTTTCCTCAGGCCTGGATTCAGATGGGCCCTTTATTTGCCGAGGCGATTTGTACACCTGCCGAAAGGCTTTTAATGATAATAGAAGACATAGAAGTTGTCAGAATCGATAGATAACGACGAAGCTAATGGCACTCTTTGGGTTAGATTGTATTGTTAAGTTTGTTCAAGGAAAAGTAAACGACTCTAATGACACTTGGTCTACGGAGACTATCCCGGTCTGCTGCTTGTCGGTATCTCTAAAGTGAATTTTCATATGTGTACAAATACTTATACACCGATATTGTTCGTTAAATATTTGTATTTGAGGATTAATTATTTATAAAACCGCTAATGACGGAACTAAAAAAGCATTTCTGTTGACTTCTGTAATATATAATCGTGTTACATTCTCGATCATGATGGAAGAAAACGAGCGAGAAACGTTTGCGATTGAACGGCCGGCTCCCACGTGTCTCCAGCATTGCAAGTTGGATCTGCGCAGACGTCTCGCGTGCGTTCCTTCCTCGTGTAACTCGGCTTTGTCGAGCCTCGGTTGCGTCGCTCTCTCGCTTTCTCGTACGCGGTCGTGACGTCACACGCTGCAAGTTGAGCCACAAAAGAGAGAGAGCGAGAGACCACGTTAATACTGGTTGCGAGAGAGGAGCGGTAGTCGGACCCAGTCGGACCACGAGAGGGGAACGGGGGAAGGGCAACGCGCGCTATACCGGGTGTCCAGAGTATCGCATAAATCGACGAATTTCGATTTTCCTTCGATGAGGGATTTCATGAGAAATTGCATAAACAATTACTGACAATTGAAAATTTAAGAATAACATTTAAGAAATTTGAGAAAATTTTAAAAATTAACAAGAGGTTTAAAAATTAAAGGCTCGTGGTTAAGATCAAGCTCGCATAAATTAATGACAGAGTCTCATTTCTTACTCAACTTATATTCAAGACATTTCAAGATATTTATCAGGAGAACGAAACGACAGTCTTTCGTCGAATTTTTATTGAGGGTAAACCAACCTTAAACTCGTCTCCGAATTGCGGTTAAAAGAGCATCCGGCGCCTCTGGGACACCCCATACGCGGAACAGGGCGTCGAGCACGCATGGTTGTTATTTACGCACGCGATGACACTGTCCGCGTGTGTGTGGCCGTTGCCGCCGGCGAATTTTGGAAATATTAGGCAATCTACGTCCGATAGCACCTCCGGATTCTACGAACGAAACAATGCATCTGCGTGGCTCACGATATACGCGCAGATGCAGATGCGTTCGTGACACGCGTCCAGCGCGGTTAAGTTATGGCCCAACGAGTCTCAATTTGACATTAAGCATGGTCGTCACTTTTAATAGATAAGAACTGAGAACAAGCGGCCGAATTTAAATAATGCGCAAGTACATACAAAAAATAAAATTTATTCCTAAACATATATTTCTTCTACGTTATTATATTAATTTTTAATAATGTAAAGATATATGCAACCATTAATTTTCATGAACGCCTTAAATGTTGTTATACATTTTCATATCTGAGATAATTGTCATTTGCGAAAAAATTACTTCCTCCTCATTCGCTGCGTAATATGTAAGATGACTCAGAAACATTTCTGAGTCACGTTTCCATGTTGCATCGCATGTATCTCGTATCTATCGCAATGATCGTCCATAAACCGTTACTGCTTAACAATTCGTTCGCTATTATAGGCCGTTCGTGCACGGCTTTTACGAACTCGTGAAGCATTTCGCAAATAAGATCGTGACTATTCGCCGACGTTTTTTACAACTGGTCTTCCATGGTGTATACAGACTTTGTTTGTTTCCTATAATCCTTTTTCCTTTTCTTTTCCATTGTACGGCCTTTATCTGCGCTGAGAGAACCGTCGACACTCCTTTGAACGGTTTTGTCGTATATATTGATCGTATGCCATGTCACATGCCTATCAAATGCCTCTCTTCTCCGCGCTCGTCTGCGTCTCATCATCGATGCACTCTCCACGATTCACCAATGTACCGTCTCTCGATTTCTCCGAGATCAAATTCAGGCCAGCCTTCAAGTTCCCTATCCGTCTCTGCCGGCTGTGTTTTACGATGTCGAGTATGAGATATCAAGTGCATCTCTTCTTCGTGACATACGTCAAGAGAAATGTATGTCTTTTTCGCGAATTAAAATTTGGACAAAAAACAGAATTTTAAGAATTTTAATCTGATATTAAAATGCTTAAAGAACTTTATCGAATTGTCCTTTGGAAAGAATCTATTACTATATTGTTACAGAATGTAACATTTTATTACTGATATAGTGAAATTATACGCAAAAAATGTTTATTTCGAGTACAAAAAGAAGTTTTTTTTTACGTGACGATAATTATCGTTGACTTTTTGTTACGTTTTGCTTCATCTCAAACTAGCGATATGTACGATTCATAATAGATTTGCAGAAATTCGTTGTTCGCGATGGATCCTTTCGTATTGTTTGCGATTCGAGGTTCGTCGTTTCTACATATATGTAGCTCTGTATGCGAACAAGGCGAATTGACACTTTGTTGATTCGCGCCCTTCGATTTTGTCGAAAAACCGCTCCACTGGCGTGTCAGCACGAATGTTAAACAACGAACGCGAACTCGACGAATCTGCCTGTCAATGCTATTCGCGAATCTCGTACGAATCGCGAGCTACAAAAATCTGAAATTCGTTTGAAGAAAGAAATCCATCGCGATCAATTTACGTCGTTAATATAAGGGGGAAACTGGGGACAATCTATAGGACAAAGTCGTACGGCGGCGGCGACACGTGCTTCGGACTGGACGAACTCGCGCTGGACTCATTCGGGCTGCTGGTCGCCCGCTTCTTTTTTGCCTGGTCCCGCTCCGAGTGTCGTCGCTCCAGCTGCCTCTCCCAGTCCCGCCGCTCCAGCTCCATCTCCCACTCCTGCCGACCCTGCCGATCCTGCCACTTATCCCGCAGCTCCTGCCGCATCTCCCGATTTAGGATTTGAGTAATTTCTACGTCCTGCACGATCGCGAATATCTTGGTCTTGGTGATGTTCAGGTAATAGGGACTCAGTGACTTCAGAGTCGGCGCGATGCTGGCCAGGAAAGCGTCCACGGAGTGAGACTGGGACGACGCGGCCTGGAGCTTGAGATCGTTGCTCTTTGCGGAATAATTCGAGGTCGTTAATTCAATCCTGGGGATAACCAATCCTGAGTCATCCTCGACTTCTTGTCTGGGCTCTTCGTTCCTCGCCGTCGGTTCCTCACCGTGCGACCTGATGTTCGTTTCGTCCTCAGTCACTTCGGGATTGGCGGCCGGCTTCGTTTGCAAATCGCGAATGTCATCGCGCTTCATCGGCGGCGTCTCTTCCGCCGCCGGCACCTCATCACTTTCCCTAATAGAATCCGAGTGATTGGGGTCTCTCTCCCTTATGAATGGCAGCAGGAAGGTTAACTGGTTCTCGTATTTGTATCTCATGTTCCTGGGCTGTCCGGTCAGTCCGCTTCTCGTGACTCGTTTCTTCAGGGATTTCCGGTAGTTGTCCCTGATGTTGTTCCATCGCGTCTTGCACGTTATCGCTGAATCGAGTAACAATGTATTCTCGGATTATTATGTGTAACACTGTTGCTGTCTCGAGGATCTTTCGATCTTGCCTTTTACAGCAATTTCGCTCTTAAATTTCTTAATTAAATGCGCGTTTAAGCTTCGCCTCTCCACTCAATTTACATCGAAATGAATTACAGTCTCGACTAATTGCACATAGATGAATAATAGAAAGTTAGCTACTATTAACATCCGGAATTAAGTGGACGCATAACTTGTTACTAAATCCGAAACTAACTTCCATGCGCTTCCAGCGTGTAACACGGCGTCCTAATGCGAGAGATGGTACAAAGCGTAATCGATAATTTACCTGAATGCCCGAGGCACTGCGATATCTCTTTCCATACGCGTTGCTTGTGAATCCCATCGATGTATCTCTTTTCGGAAACGTCGTACAGCTCTGCGTGCTTTCGCACGCACTCGATAAGCATCTCGTCATCCATCGGAGATTAAACCGATAAGTTTACGCGGTACGTATTTCTTCGATCTCTTCGCTGCGCGTCGATTCCAAAAGCCAAACACGATTAAACACAGCAGTACGAATCACATCATCCGCGCTGGTTCACGGAACGGACGTTACTGACATCGGTATCGCCACTAGTCGGAAAGCCCCTTTGTAGCGATTCGCCGCGGCCTGATACGGACTGGCACGGACGTGCAAAATCCGGCACCACCAGCTGGCACGGACTAATGACGGATGAATTTATTTATTTTGCACAAGCGATCCAACGCTTATGATGAATAATCTTAATTTATTCTCTTTCCTTTTAATCATTCATTTCAGGGAACATTTTTTTTATAATAGAACAAGTGTTAATATAGATATCAGAAGTTAATACAAAGTATCGAAAAATACAGGTAAAATGGAATATTTTTGCGCGTTATAATGTATAAATCATATAGCTTTGGCATATAAGATATTCTCAATTATTGGCGAAATTATTTTAATTAAGTGTCTGATGCCCATTTCTACCAATGTAGATTAACTTTAATCACGGTTTAACTTACTTTCTATCTTTTTCTAACTCTTAGAGAAATAGGAAAAGAAGACAGGTAAGGTAAACCAAGATTAAAATTAACCTGCGTTGATAAAAATGGACATGAGTCATCTTTGAAGCTAACGAGCCCGCGAAACGGAACGCGAAATGTGCAGCAATAACCAATGTATCAAAATTGATTTAAGGATTAATAAATGTCAAGGATAGCACGTTCGCCGCATATTTGTTTTCTAGCGCTCGTTCAATGCTTAGACACAGTCACCGTGCTGTCATTCGCGAGAAGACTCGAAGGTATATAGTGACGCGAGCGTTCTGTTATTGTTTTTTGAGACGCAATTGCGATAAGCACCAAGAGAGAACGTGGCCCCTTACGAACAGTTGGCGTTCGTTTTACCATGCGCGATTAAATTAAATTCTAATTAACGATTCATAAACGAGGCGACGACTTATCGAAGAAGATATTTCGCGCGATCTAATTTTATTTTCAGCAAAAAATTGAAGAAGCCGGGAATTGTAAATTATTGCACATTTATGGTTGTTAATTATTTATGTAACGTACCTCTCGAATTCGACTGTACCTTGCAACCGAAGGCAAAGAGTTCGGTCACAACCTCACATTCCGAATTTTTCATCAATTTAAATCTAATTTGCCTGGCATTCTTTATGCAATCGAGTGCGCACGCGGTGTACACTAGTTACCGATTCGCGTTTCAATTAATAGAAAGCCATGGCGAATTCATCAATAATATGTGAATTCCACGAAATTTATTTGTTCGAAATGTATGACGCACGTGCGTGTAATACTGGATTTCGGGCAGCCTCTTGCATTTTAATTAGCCGTTAATTTGATTCGTTAGTCGCCGAGTATCACACGGTATCGAGGCAAAACTGCCAACTGCAATTTTCAAATTTTTCGATTATATTAACGAAATATCGAGGGTATAAAACGAGTGGATGGAGCGGCGTCACAAGCCACTTAATCAATAAATGCAATCGTAATTAAATAATTTCTTATGTGTGTTGTCAAATTCTCTCGACGTCCGCGCATACAGCAGATGTTAAAAATTTCTATCAAAAACTTCTGCCGTTCGAAATTATGCTCAACCTTATTATGTTCATTCGCGAAATATCATTTCGAGCGGATACAACAGTCCCTTGTGCGATTATATTGTACTTTTCTCGCATTGTCTTTTCGTTAGAACGTGATAAAACGCGGACAGCGTCTGCGATTCATATCGATCAGGAGCACCGTAATTCGTAATTAATCGAGTTTTGTACGAGTACAGCAAAGAACTTTAAAAGGAGGAAACACATCGGGTAACGGCAGAACAACCATGAATAATTTAATTCTTATTTCATTCGTTGTCCGCAAAATTAATCATTTGCAATTATTTAAAGCCTGCACCAATTATTTTTTGAAACAATATTCTTAACGCACCAATTTTATTGTAATTTCTGTTAGCCTCTTCAATAATTATTACAACAATTTCACCAAAACGGCAATCTTTTGAAAATATTATAATTTTATAAACGTATATACATGATGTCGCGCGAGGTTTCAAACCAATCTTATACATATATTCCACTCGAGAACAGCGCCAGGTAGAATCTACGCGCCTTAGACGGAAGGGAGGCTCGGCCTAATCTAATCGCATTCGTCGACGAGTGCACGTCGTCGGCTTCGTGGCACCGCGCGACTCTCAAAAAGCGGCGAAAGCGGCCGCTCGCTAAAGGTGGACGTTGCACCTTGCTTGTTTTTTGTTATTTTCGCCGTTTGACTTTCGGGTCGAGTCGATCGGGCCGGCCAAGCTCGCGCCTAAAGTGCATATTGCACCGGTCCGCCTTAATGGCGGGATGGCGTGACGGGCTTGCGGGAACGCGGGGTGGCGAACGGAACGAAACGAAACGAAACGAAACCCGGCGGGAACGCGATGTCGCGTGTCCCGCGCCGTGCGTTTCGCGGTCGCGTGTGTCGCGGATATTACACGCGATCCTTGGACCCCGTCCCAACTAAATGTCTCGCCGCACGAACGGGCCTTTCGCGAGCTCGCCTCTCACTTGCACTTTTAATTTCTTCGCTCGTTGCGCACTCGACACCGCGAGTCGTCCGTCTTTGCTTGTCGTAAGGAGCTTACAATGCAAAATCGTAACGGGAGATCGCAATCCCGATGTCGATTCTTTAATATGTGAATCAGTAACGTAATGTCGAAACGTTTGCGAATTTATTTAGCACCTCGCTTCGCAAAATTCTTATTTTTACTGCTCTCTGATATTTAATTCCGCATTATTGACCTCCAGGTTTTTCTATGTATTTTTATTTTTAATTTCACTATTTTAATGTGACAGCTACGGGAAGAGCTAAATAAAAAAGCGTTTCGACTATTTTAATATCAGAGCTTATAAATAATTTCTGAATGAAAATTCAAAGATTAAATTTTCAACGTGTACACATCACGTGGGAATAGAAATGTTGCTAGTTTATCGGCTCTGCGCCATCGGACCCAGAAGAATCGATTCCTAGTGACTCGAAATGGGCTGTCATTAAAGTAATAGCGATAGTTTCGGTACACCTTGAGATAGATATTATCTCGCGATATCCCGGAGATTTTAACTGTGTACAATTTGCTTTTTAATTTTACGACGTGCAATTTTATCTGCCCAAGAAAGCTGTAGGATATTATTAGACCTCCTTATGCCTCATCTCTTTCCCTGCCATTCCGGTGAGCTAGGCATCGTAATATATGTCCCAAAGTTAAAAGGCAAAACTTCTTCTTATAGGCAAAAAGGGTCGTAAGTTCCCAGCCCGGCGCGCTACCTTGCGCAGTCTCGCGTATCTCCCTTCGGCTGAGAACTTTGATAGCATACGTCGACATGTTCTCCTGTTGCGTGGGAAAGTGCTACATAATGACACGGTCATTCTTTGCACGTCGGGTGAAGCCAATAGCGGATGCGCTGTCGGAAAGTCTATCAAGACAAGCGTGTTCGCCGCCAAGATTTTCTCTCGTTTTACTCCGACGTTTGAATTCCCCCTCTGGTATTAACTGAAGCGGTGGTAATATACGCGTCCCCGTGTCTTCGTGTAAAATTGCAGAAATATATTATCCACGCTACGTCAGCGCGATTGGAAATAATTCGATTATTAAATCCGAATCGTTAGTCAGTTTCTTATTTCGTTAATTCAATCTTTTCGTCGACATAGCTATGTCCGGTTATGACTTTAAATTCTCCAGAAATTACGCGCGTCAACGATTTCGGCTTTTGTTAATACATTCGAAATAGAAAACCGTCGCAATGTAGTAGGTGAGAGTTAGTCATCGCTCGCGTCGAAATTCTCGCGAGTACTTATTTTCTGGACTCGGAAAGATGCGGAATGCCGGATTCTTTGTTCCCAGTGCCGTTAAGCGGCTCGCTGCTGAAACACCTGACGTCGCCAGGCGGTCGTCTGGTCAGGCTGGCAGGCAAGCAGCCAGCCAGCCAGCCAGCCAGCCAGGCAGCCGGGCAGGCAGCCCGCGTCGTACGTAAGTACATACCTGTGGCAGGTGAATCGAGTCAGGTGCTCCAACAGATGGGCGCCTTTACTCGAGAAAGCGTTATAAAAGCGGTCTATCATAAATGTGGGTTACTAGCTATGACTAACGCCCGACGATAGAACGAGCCTGCTCTTGTGCGCGTCTGTAATTCACCAATTACTTTCGCGCGTTTTCGCTCAATATAACGCGTCGCCTAAAAAAAAGGCTCGAGATTTTTATCATTAGATATCTCGACGTATTTACTCGAGAACTTGTGAGGCAGGCACGTTCGCGAACTGCGCAAAAGAAAATTCGCGACAGACTGCGGGGACTAGAGCCACGAGCAATCGCGAAACATTTTTATCCTCTTCCTCGGACAATTTTTCGCATATTTCAGCAATACGTAAATCGGTTTAACGTCAGCTTTATTATATTTCGATTACGAAGGGAAGGCCGCGTCGAAGGCCGAGGATTTAAATCCTTGGTTTGTCAATCTTGGTTTGCCGAGAAAGAGGATGATTCTTGCCGCGCCGCGCCGCGACGAAAGCCCGCTCGAACGTCCTTCAACAGCGTTTCCGCGCGTCTCCGAGCGTCTCCGAGAGGAAGGAGCGTAACGAGCGGGTGTCTTCTTTCCTTTTCTTCATTCTTTTTCGTTTCACGGACACGTGACGCGAAGCATGCGGCGTATGCATGCGAGCGAGCCCGCGTATGCGTGCACGTAAGAGCGTAGCCGTTTGTGCAGTCACGTGTAAGAATGGGACAGCGAAAACGTGACGCGATTATGCATTCGCGCTACGTCGTCATTTCTAGCTTGGTGCACGAGTCAGCGACGAGGTAGCGGGTTTCCAGCATGCGTTATGGTAATTTTATTAAACGTTCCTATTTAAAGAACACGGCATAATCGCGGAATGAACCGCGAGCGTCAACGGACGGCGCGTTATTATCATCCATTGACTATCCTCGAACAATATTTGATTATTGTCCGCGAATAACGTATGTATGTGGATCTGTGTTTGGAAAATAGACGAATCCGATCATTTATTC